CAGCGGAGCGCCGGGCGCGGCGAAGGCCGCCAGGAGTGGCGGCTGCCACTGTAGCCAGGGCGAGGCGGTGGTGGCGGTGGATGGCAGCTGCAGCGGCCCGGCGAGCGCGGCGGGGACGCCCTGGGGCAGCGGCAGTGGCTGTTGCGGCGGAGCGCCAGGCGCGGCGGAGGCTGCCACTGCAGCCAGGGCGGGGCGGTGGATGGCAGCTGCAGCGGCCCGGCGAGCGCGGCAGAGGCCGCCTGGTGCAGCGGCTGCCACGGCGGCGCGGTGGCGGCGATGGGCGGCGTAGCCGGGTGCGGCCCGTAGGACCCGACCAAGAACAGGTGGATCTCCTGGACCGCCTGGGTTAGGTCCCGCAGCGCTCTGGACACCTCCTCCGGGGTGAGGACGGCGGGGGCGGGCGCGATGGAGGATCCTGGCAGCGGAAGAGACGGGTTGGGCGGCGGTGAAGACATGATCGAACCGAAGCTAGTTGATACCAAATTGTTATGACGCTGCTAGGAGGGCATGAGAGGGCCGGCCGGGGGCCTTTTGCCCAGTGCCGGGCAAGATGGAAGGGATTTCCTTCTTAATTCTTGCTTCATTAGATTGATACATCTCCTCTCTTTATATAGAGAGGTTTACTTGACTCCCAAGCAAGGCTTACTTGACCCCTAAGCAAGCGACCCTTATCTCTAATTAACCCTAAGACTAACGGGCTATACTGCCAGCCCAGGCCATTAGGCCCATTACGTACTCTAACAGAAGTGCTTAAGGTATAATGAGGAAAAATAACGAGTGATTGTCTTTGCTTGTGAAGTTTTTTGACCTATTGTAATCATTTGATATTTTATAACTTAAGATTTCAATTGAATGGTTTTGTCATAGTTCTTACTGATCATTTAGATGTTAATATATTAAAAATATCAAGTTTGAGACCATCAATCCATTCATGTTATCATGTATGTACCGGAGTGGTGCCTCTTGAACCGCACTGTGCGTATATCCCAGTCTTGACTATATATTCAAATTTTTTTGTTCAATTTGGCCTTTGTCGCTCAGTTATTAAGTCTTGTAAATACTTCACTGTCCATAACGTTATAGCAGAGCTCCTGCTTTTCCAGACATATTTTTGTGTGCTTCCCAAGGACCTAAATTGGATTATGATTTCGGTAATGTCTGAGGGCGGAGCGTTGTATTGTTGTGTTGCAGTGGGCTCTAGCTATTGACAGTTTGGAAGAGGGACAACCTGGCTCGAGCAGAAGTTTTGGTATGCAGCAGCGACCTGATGGTGATATTGAGATTGATGAGAAGTTCTGGGAGCAAGATTTTGACATTCCTGGTTGCAGTCAGTGTGGTGGAGTGCTAAAACCTGATGTGAGATTTTTCTTTTTCTTCATCTTTCTATGAGTACTGTTAGTTAATTTAAAAACGTGGATGTGAAACTATGGATTTGTTGTCATTTCAGTTATTGAAAAGATGATAACAGGCAAATCAAGCCATTAAGATTTGTAGCTAGGAACACTTGGTATTAGTAGACACTGACTTCTGTAGCATCTGATGAGCCCATTACTAACATGTGATCTCCTTAACAATTTGTATAACTAAAATGTAGGGTGTAAATTCTTATATCAGCGAGTCATTTCAGTGACGGGCTTTCTTTCCCTAGTCCATGTAAGTTATAATAAGGGCATTAAATCTAAAAGCAGTTTTAAATGTCTTATCCTGTTCTTTGAAGGTTGTGATGTTTGGTGATAATGTTCCAATAGAGAGAGCTGATAGCGCTAAGGAGGCTGCAAGAAACTGTGATGCTCTTCTGGTGGTTGGTTCAGCGGTAATGACGATGTCTGCTTTTAGGCTGGCAAGGTATCACTGGAAAATATTGTTTAATCATTTCCATATTATTGTCGATAGCTAGTTATCTTGCTTGCCTATATTTCTTGCTCTGGATTAAATCTTTCAAACTGGAACAAGTTGTCTTATTGGTTATCGCGACATCAAACTGATTATAAATCCCAATCCCAGGCTTGCACATGAAGCAAATGCTCCAATCGCCGCGATTAACATTGGGGGCACGAGAGCTGATAGCATTATATCTTTGAAAATCAATGCGAGATGTGGGGAGGTTTGTTACCTTGGTACTTTTTCCTTTTCTATACTGCAGCAGGTGACATACGTGTGTTGCATCATAATTGTCACCTTTTTTCAGATACTTCCCAGAGTACTTCGGATGGGAAGTCTAGCTGTACCAAGCATAAGCTGAACATTTACAGTGTTTGGAGAAATCAGTTACGAGGGAAGATGGGTGAGACATATATAAGTACCTGTAGATCATTCTGTAAACAGGTCAGAACTTTATATGACCTTCCGGTTTGTGTTAGAGCATTATCATGGTTGTTCTAAGTGTAAAATCATTTTTTGTGATGACTCATTAGTTATGTATCCAGGAAAAGTAGACCCAAGTTGATCATCTATATAGTTCCTGGTTTTTTGGACGATTTTTGGAACCAATGTTACTATTTAAGGGGCTGCCAGGTTTGTCCAGAGAAGCTACCCCCTGTGTTCTAGATAAAATTCTGATAACGAGTGTAGCGGTATGTTTGGCGAAGCTAGAGACTGTCGAAATGGAAGTGTGTGTGGTAATACTCTATTCCATGGTGGTTTTGCTCGTTTTACAGAAACTAGTAATGGTGCACGTGCAAATGCACGTATCATCAGATACACCAAATTTATTTATGAAATAAAAAAGTTCTTATTCCATTTTCAAGCTAGTAATAATGTGTAGCGATTATACACGCACATCAACTGATGTAAATTCGATAAAAGAACCTTACAAGTTTATTAATAATAGACTCAATGAATTCATCAGCTTCAGCTTATACCCTTGAATGGCAGTCCAACTGCTAATCCCAAAATGAGAACATATATCTTATAAGGACCGTGATATTTGGCACATGTGTGCCATATAAGTAAAATTGCCACACCTCTACTTCTTTCACTTTAAAGTATCACACGGTCCCCCTTCCTTCGACCCCATCTTCTCCCAAACGACCTTGCAGACTCACCTGAGAAATCTGCTTCTCTTGCATATCTCGCGCGTCCACCCCTGAGAAAACTGCCACTTCTTCATGTCTAACATATGATAAAAAAATATTGCGCATGTGGGATTTGAACCCACACCTCCTTGGCACCAAAGCGCGCCACCACAACAAACCTCACCCTTAGGTATTTGTTGCTCAAACTAAAGAAACTAATCGTTTTGATCTTTTTTTTACAATTGTGTTACTACAAAAAAGTACAGAAAATTACCACTATTTTCCCTCGGGACAAAGTTACCATGGTATTCGCATGCAAGTTATCAGACCTGTGTTGCGTAAATTACCGTGCTATTTACATAGAACTTACCAGGTACTATGTTTCAACAACTACACCCCTTTCAAAGTTACCACTGTGTTATAAGGTCTTCGATGTGTAAAATATCGTGGTACTTACATATAAGTTATCAGGGTATGTGTACATCAACCTCGTCCTTGGTCAAAGTTACCATGAGGGATTGTACATGAGTTACCAGGTCTACAGTTCGTATATTATCATGGTACTTACACCTAAAAACCTGAGTGTGTTTCGGTAACTTTTTTCATAACTTTTTCGATGTTTTTGCGTAACTTATCACGCCTATAGCGGGTCAAGATGGGCCGTTTTTCTGGGCCAACCCATGAGCACATGTGCCTCCTCATGACACTAAACATTATGTGGCTTTTCTGTGGCACATCATGTGTTGTGTTCATCTAAGAGGCCTCGCGAGGCGAGTGTATGTTTTTAACAACTTGTTTTCCTTTGGTAAAACATTACCATCATGTTTATATTGTAACTTATCGGTTATGCGGTGCTTATATTATCATGTTATTCACACAAAAATTATCGGGGATGTTTTGAACAACTTTTCCGCGGGACAAAAGGTTATCATGTTGATTCTAGGTAACCTATCAAGCCCGCGGTGCTTAAAATATCATGCTATTTACACAAAATTTATCAAGGGTATGTTTCAGCAAAATTCCCCCCCACGGGTCAAAAACTTATCATGGTGTTTAGTTATCGCGGTGCATATGTTTTCATGCTATTTACACATAAAAATACCAGGGGAGGGAGGTACCGTGCTATTTACACAGAAGATACCGGAGTATCTTTTCAAAAAAAAATCCCTATGGTCAAAGTTACCATGGTGTTTCTACCTCAGTTATCAGATGTGCGCTGCGTATATTATCATCTATTTACACATAAATTATCTGGTATATTTTCATATTTTTCTTCCCTAATGGTTAAAGTTACCACGATGTTTGTATCTAAATTATCAAATCTATGGCGTGAATGTTATCGTGCTATTTATAGAAATTACCCGGGGCCGGGGTTCAACAAATTTCTTCCCAATGATCAAAGTTACCATGATGCTTTCACCAAAGTTATCACGCCTTCAATGCTTATAACCATGCTACTTACACATAATGTACCGTGTGGTATACAAAAGTTATCATGTTGGTGGTGCGTCATTTATCGTGGTGGTGATGGAGAATTTACCACGGGAAAATTTTATGTGTCAGGTTTGATAGGTGAAACAAAAGTTTTTCAGTGATAAAATATTAAAGGCAAAACATGTCAAAAACAGTATTTTCCTTAGCTTGTTCAACAATGAGTGCCATAGGTGAGATGGTTGGCTCCCTTTGTTGATTACTTGCAGACCAGAGATCAAATCCCAATTAAAGCATTGTTTTTGCCCAAAAATCTGAAAGGCGCGTGGGGCCGTAACTGGTGATTGAAAGGAAGGAAATCAGGAGGGCGGGAAAGGAAGGAGATCAAGAGGAAAGGAAGGAGATTGGGAGGACGTGCGGGAATGGAATGGATTGGAATGGAAGGAGAAGGAGATCGGGAGGGTGTGGCAGTTTTGCAATCTGCCACACGGTTGCCACTTACATATTTCGATCCCAATTAAAGCATTGTTTTTGCCCAAAAATCTGAAAGGCACGTGGGGCCGTAACTGGTGATTGAAAGGAAGGAAATCAGGAGGGCGGGAAAGGAAGGAGATCAAGAGGAAAGGAAGGAGATTGGGAGGACGTGCGGGAATGGAATGGATTGGAATGGAAGGAGAAGGAGATCGGGAGGGTGTGGCAGTTTTGCAATCTGCCACACGGTTGCCACTTACATATTTCAATCTTATAGTCCAGAAAAGTTTCACGAATTATATTTTATGAAAATATACAAGTAAGTTAATTCTTCAGCATGCTTCACCCATTCTCGTATAGAAATCGTTTGTTGTGTATCGACAGTTTAACCTAGGACTCGTGCATGTTCAACACTTCAAGTAATATAAATATAGATCAACGCATGTGTGTTGCTATGTTCACAATACTCACCAAAGATAACAATGACACATAGCTAAACTATAAATAACATATGCAACTGCCTTCAGATATATATGTTTTACACTCAGACAATTGTGATTATTGTGCCGGAGTAACTATGGAACAAACTCTGTATCAGAATAATAGTCGTGTATTGGTTTAACTGTGTTATGTGCAGCCACAAGCAGTAATCTCCATCGCCTGAAAAATTCATGTACTCGACATTGGAAATGTCGAAATTTGTTGCATTTTTTGCCCTCCAGCAACAAGAGCCAGCTCCTTTGTACTTCACCAGTACCTGCAATTTAGAATCAACGACTCACTGAGTTCCAAGCACAATCACAAGTCTCCAAGGTGACAAAATTTATCGAAAAAGACTTTCGCCTGGCTTTATATATAAAGCAACAACCAACCACAATCTGATATAAACACATGCCACCTCAACTCACGCACACACCCAAAGCTGTATACATAGGCTCTAGGCGCAGCAACACCACACCCAGCCACCACAAGAGCTACTGGGATCCTCAACCGTGAACATGCCACCGCGAAGAGATGAAGCTGCAGACAATGGACCGTGAGCTTCAAGACGGCGCCTTCAGGAAGGTTACGACATCAGAGTGCCGCCACCGCCCGAACCGAGGGTCGGGGTTTCCCGTGGAGCAAAATGACGGGCAATGAGGACCGTGATGGCGCCTTCAAGAAGGGGACAAACTCGCCGCCGCTGGACTACCCAAAGACAGAGCAGGTTTTCACCCCGGTCCACGCTCACTGCCCCTGGCATAGGTACGGAAGCCGCACCACCACCACCGATCATCATCCCCTGGCCACCACGCCGCCCACACGACCATGGTCACCGGGCAGCACCTAAGCCACGGCCTCCGCCCACGAGCACCGGGCTTCCACCACCAGAGCCGCCGCCCTGGCATCCAAGACCACCCCACCTCCTTCCACGCGGACCACCGGACGCTGCTGTCAGAAAGGTGAGCCCTTTGGGAGAGAATGGGACCCAGCCGGCCAAAACAAGACAGGGGAAAGCCACCGGCGGCTGTCGGGCACGCTGTCATGGGAACGGATCTGACAGTAGAGATGGACGGTACGTAGGAGGAGGTAGTGCCTAGCTACGGCGAGGTTGTACACTCGGATTTACGAGTTCAGACCCCTCTCGGTGGAGGTAACAACCCTATGTCTCAGTGCCGCGGAGGCTCTATTGATTGGAGTGTTGTGTTACAGGGGGTACGAACCCTTGTGCAAGAGGGGAGGGGCAGCTTATATAGAGTACGTTGACCCCTCGCAGCCCTCAGTTACACAGGGGTTCAATGAGAAAATAAAGTAGCGTACGTTACTGGTAACGCTCGTGTTTAATGATCTTTAAGGTGACAAAGTGAATGCTCGACCGTTGCCATCTAGGTGTGGCTCTTAGCGTTCTATCCTTTGAGTGGATTCTTGTCTTCCGAGTGAATGACATTGGTCGAGTGGAATTGGGGTATCCGAGTGAATTTTCTGTCGAGTGGGTTGCACTCTATGATGATTCCAGTTAGTATCTTCTTTCTATCCTTGTAGGCCTTGACCTCTTGTGTGGTGTCCTTGGGTAGGGCAATTAGGTCAGGCCTAAGACCCTACCCTAGGTACATGTCATCGTCACTAGCCCCCAAATGGACCGAGGGCCGAGTGAAGAAGGATTGAAGTTGATTTCGACCCGATTCAATGTCCTAGAGACACTTTCTCAAGGGCCTGAAAGTATGCTAGTATTTTAACCCTCCGTCAATTGCCTTGATCAATTCTGGCTTCTTGAGCTTCCGAGTGGAATAAGTAACATAACATCGAGCAGATTTGATTTGGATATCTTTGACGAGATCGACTGATT